AAAATTTTTTAATATAATAGAATAATATAAAAATGATATTATAAAATTAGATATAAGATAATCAGCTAATTAATAAAATCAATATAATATCTGCCTAATATCTGTCTAATATTATAGACTGATATAATAATAATATATTAAATTTAAAGAAAAGAAAATATAAATATATATAATATAATTATTATTATATCTGCCTTATATCAATAGGACGATAGTTTAAAGATATATAAATTTTTTTTTTTTTTTTTTTGGTGTTCAGGTGGGATCTTGCCCATAACTTTATTTATTATTAATACTTTTATTATATATATTACTATATTTCCGTATTTACATATATCAAGTATACCAAGCTCAGACTCGAATCCTATTGGTTACCTATGCTCTGGCCGAAACCATCGCTTGCGTGATAGGTGTCCCCATCTGCTATTTGGCCACCGATCCATTATCTGCGATCCAAACTTACCGGAGCAGTACATCCTTATAGATAGCATTCACCTGGTATTTTTCTACCCTTCACTAGTTCTATTTTAGTACACTTCCCTATAACGTCATTCTCCGCATCTCTCATACTACTTATACCTAAGCTCCCAAATTTAGTAGTCCCTTCTGGAATATGGCCTCGTAGCCTCAAGGGCTACTTCTAATCTTGGTTATTTTCAGCTAGTCTGCCCAGGTAGTATCACGAAGAGGAACTCATGCTGGTCCAGGTTAAGCCTTGTCATTAACACCTAGTTTAGTTAGTATGCTGCTGATTCTCATTACCTTTATAGGTAGGTACTCCCGTGTATTGATGCAGGCTCACTGTATTGCATTATAGGTTACTCCATAACTTCCAGATTGTAGGTTTTATATTACTTCTCTTCCATAGTTTGAGCTATAGTATTCCGATACCTTAACATTTTAGGTTACAGAGCTCTAGGGGTCTAGACCTAGTTGCGGCTTGCAGTCTGTAATACTTCCAATTTCAGTATTTGGTGTTTCTTATCAATTTCTGATATACAAGCCCGATTTGTACAATTGTATTACCAGCCCAGTGAATCTAGCCATTTCGAGTTTTTATCACATACCCTGAGTTTTAGCCTTCTCACTTTGTCCTCACAGGTTTTTTCCTTAATAGGCCAAGTGGCTTGGAGCCAGAAGTGTTTTCGAACTCCGAATAGACCAATCCTTTACTACAATTCATCCTCATGTTTATCACTTTTCTCACTACTCCAGTTTTGTTACCATCGTGTCACTCTTCCAATCAAGTACCCCAACCACTAGGGATGTTGGTGCTGCCCCAGTCACCCCTAATTGAGGACTAATATGTGCAACCTTTCATGTAACAGAACCTTTCATGACCTGTCATATATAGTGCTACCACTTCACGATTGGACCTCCTTCTGGAAATTTCCTTTTTCAGTTTCGTACTTGCACTTGGATTTAACCACAGAGCTCCGCATTCAATTATGGCTCCCTATTAGATTACAGAAGCTAAAAATCCTAAGATTTTGCCTCCAGCCTGACTTGAACCATTGACCTAGTCTGTGGGGATTTGGCAGCTTAACCGCTAAGCTATAGGGCCCAAACTCCTAGTTTTATATATTTCTAACAATTATAATAAAATAATTCTTAAAAATAAAATTACTAAAATACTTTATAATAGGCACATATACTGGTTACAATTTTTTTAAACATCAGATTAAAAAATATCATTAATCGACCAATCTTTAGTACTGACAGCAGCATTTTGAAGATGAGTATCTGAACTTTCAGCACTAATATTTTGACTTTGTTCAAAAGCATCTATATCAAAAAACTCTTCTATTATTAATTTATCCTTTATATCAATACTTATCGCTTCAACATCAAATTCTAATGGCTTTTCAAATTCTTTTTCCTCAAAAAGAAGATCGATATTAGGATTTTCAACATCAGGAATATTTATAAGATTTGTAGATAAAGTTTGTTTTTTAGTTTTTTTTTTTAATGCTTCTGGTAGTTTTTGCTGAAGATTGTAACAAAGCATTCCAAGCATTCTCATCAAGGTAGTAGACATTTTGTTTTACGACTTTGTTTTTAAAAGTTCCAAGCTAGAGAATAAGCATTCAACAGCTGCTGCATAGAGAATGATCAAAAAGATTTTTATAGCAAATCGTCGAAGAAGGGGTGAGCCTCTGGTAAACTGTGTCCAAAAGGTTTTAGAACCAATATTCTTTAGATTTTTGTAAATACCAAAAGAAACATCACCATTTTTATAATTTACAAGTTCTTTGTATAAAAGAGTAGTTTTCTTTTTATCATAGCCCCAAATTTTTGCTAATTCTAAAGAAGTTCTTATAATTATATCACCAAATATTTTTTTCGATATTGCAATTTCTTTATAATATAGTGATAGAAAAAAAGAAACAAAATAAATATCAGAAAATTTACGAGCTCGTTTGTTGATAGCCACTAAGGTATGTTTTTTGAATCTGTTAATTAAAATATTTGCTTTTATAACAGTATAATGAATATTAATTAACTCTTTAAAAATATTAGCTAATATAGTATTTCTTGATTTCAGACAGCCAATGGCATCTACAATAGGAATAAGCACTGTAACTAACGTATCGTTATTAGCAAAATGATAATGATCATTAACTATGTTTTGAATCTCTGTTTTAATTATAGGATAGTTACTAGTTCTACTAAAATCAATACATTATTGAAATTCTCTTTCAAATGCTTTCATGACCAAACAAACTTTCACAAGAGAATACCATCATGTTTCATAGAATGTTGTAAGTGAGTGGCATACATCTTCTTTTTTTTGCTAATTCTGCAATGTTCGAAGCCAAATATGAGAAGACGTAAAGAAATTGACAAGTTTTTGATTATTTTTAATAATTAAAAGTAATAGTTGAAAAGAAGAAATATCCTTTGCAAGTAAGTTAAAGGAATGAAGGTAACAATGAATAGGGATTATATTTAGATAAACTTTTTTAATATCAGATCTTATTTTGACTATAACTGAAGGATTGTCAGTTACATATACAATAACAGATTTAACAGGGAATGAATTTATTTCAAGAATTTTTTCAAATTTCTTCTGAAAAAAGTTGCAGTATGACGATTTGCTGATAAATTAACGATATCTAAAATATGCTCCTGCTTCTTTTTTAAGGCCATAAAACTATAAATAGAGTTTTGGAATACATCTTGCCATCTATCTAAGGTGATAGTAATATCGGTAAGAGATGATATTATTTCAAATTTTTTAGCTAAGTAAGCAAAAAATAAAGTATTAAGAAGTTTCATATTCAACATTTCTGCAGAAAGTGGACAATAATTTGGTGCAAGTTTATTAAGAAATTCAAGAAAATAAGAGTTTTTGACAAGTTTAAAAGACAGATTGCTATAAATAATAATATTAAGCAATTTTTTGTCAATTTTAGCTTGTTTATTTGATGAAAGTGATTTAACAATCTAACTTGACAAATTTTCTTAATGCTTTAACACAGATAAGAAGGGACTATCAGCTACATTACTTGTACTATAAAAGCTAAGTTAATTAAATATTCTAATAAATTATTAAACTATTTACAATAACATACTCAGATTGTTCTTGATCTAAACTAAATAAAGCCTTTTTTTGAGATTTAGAAATAGACCAGGTAGTTTTCTTAATATAATTACTTTTTTCAGGAACGGGCCAGTTACCACATGTAAGAATATGACTGTGTAGTTTTTCAGGCCTACCAAGTAGTTCGAATTTATAATAGAAACATTTAGCAATATATCTATTGCCTAAAATTTTCTCTATGGAATGCCAAAAGCCAGTCCAATGGTGATCATGATTTATCATGTTAGGAAGAACAAAACCGGCTGGTGGTTGAGATTGCATTATGCTAAGTTGAACTTAAGTTTTTTATTATTATGATATTCACTAATTAAAGCTTGAAAGATGTGTTAGATATAGTTTTTTTTTAAATCAGACTATAGAAGGTCGAGATCGTTTAATTAAGTCAATTTGTACAACAATTTTCTTTTTTTCGCTTTATATATAAGACTCTAATTATAATTTAATTTAATTTTTTTTACAAAAAGTATAAATAAAGATTACTTCTGGATCACATGTATATTCTATAGATTATCTGAGAATTTTATAATATTTTCTTTGTCTATAATATACGTAATTTGTTTAAAAAATGTTGATAATATTATACTAATAAAAGATTTATTTTTCCATAATTAGTATTTGATTTCTTGAGCAAAAAATTTTTAATTTTTTCTTTCTTTGTTATATAGATATAGGGGAATACTATGGGTTACCGAATGATTTACTTGTGCTGCATAAGTAAACTATTCAGTCAACTTGTAATACTCTGTATATTCATGAGAATTTTAAATAATAGCTTGCAAAAGTTTGAAAAGCAATTTAAATAATTCTAGTTGTTTTGAATAATGCCTCTATTAATTTATTTTAAAACAATTTGCATAATTGTTACTATGTAATTTATTAAATATCATATGCTTATAGTCATATATTTTAATACAACCAGGGCAGCCAACGATTTTACAGGTTATGTAGATAGTGCTATCAATATTTAATATATACAATATGTAGTGCAAGATCAAAATTTTTGTAGCAATAGCACAATACTGATTCATTTATACAATTTGCTGCAGTTGGCACTACCCACATAGTCATAAAATTAGTGGGCTATCCTGGTTGAGTTTATATATTTTTGTTTCAATTAAGGTTAATTATTCTAATCTGAAGCTTAGACAAACTAAACTATATACAACAAATAATACTTCTATTTATATAATTGTTTCTATATGATTTATTAAATATCATATACTTAAAGTCATAGTTTTTGTTTTAATTAAGGTCAATTATTCTAGTCTGAAGCTTGGACAAACTAGACTATGACACAAATTCAAGTATATATATTTCTAAAGTCTAATAATATAACATCATAAGTGGTCAGATAAGCATAATTTTAATATACTGCAAAAATTATAAAAACCCAAATTTGATATCTGGGTAACAATAATAAATATATAAAAATTGTATAAAAGTATAAATCAAAACCACTTTTAATATAACTCTTTCTGCTTATCATTTGTACACAAAATTTCGTCACAATAATTTTCACGTTTTTCTCAATTTACGAAAAATTT